TGTCTGAGCGTTTCGGGGCTTGTGCAGGTGGTGGGAGGGGGTGGGGGTGTCTGTGCGTGGGTCTGCAGGCGTGTCTGCACGCGTGTCAGTGCCTGTGCACGGGTTTACACGGGTGTGTCAGTGTCTGCACGCGTGTCAGTGCCTGTGCATGGATGTGCACGCATGTCAGTGTCTGTGCAAGGGTCTACATGGGTGTGTCAGTGTCTGCACGCGTGTCAGTGCCTGTACATGGGTCTGCACATGTGTCAGTGCCTGTGCACGGTTTTACATGCGTGTGTCAGTGCCTGTGCATGGGTCAGCACATGTGTCAGTGCCTGTGCATGGATTTACACAGGTGTGTCAGTGTCTGTGCATGGATGTACACGCGTGTCCGTGCCTCTACACGGGTCTGCACATGTGTCAGTGTCTGTGCAAGGGTTTACATGGGTGTGTCAGTGTCTGCACGCGTGTCAGTGCTTGCACACGGGTGTGCACGTGTGTCAGTGCCTGTGCACGGGTTTACACGGGAGTGTCAGTGTCTGTGCATGGATTTACACGTGTGTCAGTGCCTCTACACGGGTCTGCACATGTGTCAGTGCCTGTGCACGGGTTTACATGGGTGTGTCCGTGCCTGTACATGTGTGTGCACGTGTGTCAGTGCTTGTGCATGGATGTGCATGTGTGTCAGTGCCTGTACGTGGATGTACACGCGTGTCAGTGTCTGTGCATGTGTGTGCACATGTGTCAGTGCTTGTGCATGGGTTTACATGGGTGTGTCAGTGTCTGTGCATGGATTTACACATATGTCAGTGTCTGTGCATGGTGTCTGAGCGTTTCGGGGCTTGTGCAGGTGGTGGGAGGGGGTGGGGGTGTCTGTGCGTGGGTCTGCAGGCGTGTCTGCACGCGTGTCAGTGCCTGTGCACGGGTTTACACGGGTGTGTCAGTGTCTGCACGCGTGTCAGTGCCTGTGCATGGATGTGCACGCATGTCAGTGTCTGTGCAAGGGTCTACATGGGTGTGTCAGTGTCTGCACGCGTGTCAGTGCCTGTACATGGGTCTGCACATGTGTCAGTGCCTGTGCACGGTTTTACATGCGTGTGTCAGTGCCTGTGCATGGGTCAGCACATGTGTCAGTGCCTGTGCATGGATTTACACAGGTGTGTCAGTGTCTGTGCATGGATGTACACGCGTGTCCGTGCCTCTACACGGGTCTGCACATGTGTCAGTGTCTGTGCAAGGGTTTACATGGGTGTGTCAGTGTCTGCACGCGTGTCAGTGCTTGCACACGGGTGTGCACGTGTGTCAGTGCCTGTGCACGGGTTTACACGGGAGTGTCAGTGTCTGTGCATGGATTTACACGTGTGTCAGTGCCTCTACACGGGTCTGCACATGTGTCAGTGCCTGTGCACGGGTTTACATGGGTGTGTCCGTGCCTGTACATGTGTGTGCACGTGTGTCAGTGCTTGTGCATGGATGTGCATGTGTGTCAGTGCCTGTACGTGGATGTACACGCGTGTCAGTGTCTGTGCATGTGTGTGCACATGTGTCAGTGCTTGTGCATGGGTTTACATGGGTGTGTCAGTGTCTGTGCATGGATTTACACATATGTCAGTGTCTGTGCATGGATGTACACAAGTGTCAGTGCCTGTGCACGGGTTTACATGGGTGTGTCAGTGTCTGTGTGTGGTTTTACACGTGTGTCAGTGCCTGTGCATGGATGTACACGTGTGTCAGTGCCTGTACATGGGTCTGCATGTCTGTCTGTGCCTGTGCATGGGTTTACATGGGTGTGTCAGGGCCTATGCATGTGTCTGCACATGTCAGTGCCTGTGCATGGATTTACACGCGTGTCAGTGTCTGTGCATGGATGTACATGCGTGTCAGTTCCTGCATACGTGTGTGCACCTGTGTCAGTGCCTGTGCACAGGTTTACATGGGTGTCAGTGTCTGTGCATGGATTTACACACATGTCACTGCCTGTGCATGGATGTACATGCGTGTCAGTGCCTGTGCACATGGGTCTGCACATGTGTCGGTGTCTGTGCGTATGTCTGCACGTGTGTCAGTGTCTGTACCTGGATTTACACGTGTGTCAGTGCCCGTGTACGGATTCACACGGGTGTCTCTGCCTGTACGTGTGTCTGCAGATGTGTTAATGCCTGTACACACAGCCACACGTGTGTCAGTACAAGGATTTACGTGTGTTTTGGTGTCTGCACGTGTGTCTGCACGTGTCAGGGCCTGTAAATGGATTTACACGTCGGTGTCCGTGCACAATTTCCATGTGTGTCGGTGCCCATGCACGCGCTGGCACGCGCATTGGTGTCTATACATGCATTGGCACGCATGTCAGCATCCGTGCATGCACTTGCACGCGTGTCAGTGCCCGTGAATGTGTTTGCACACGTGTCAGTGTGCACACATGCATTTCCACGTGTACTGGCTTCTACGTGTGCATTTGCACGCGGGTCATGCACGTAGCTCAGGGTGCATCTGCCCGTGTGTCAGTGCAGGTGCATTTGCACGCGCGTCCGTGTCCGTGCATGCCTTTGCACGTGTGTCACTGCCTGAACACGCTCTTGCACACGCGAGGACACGAGAGCTCCGTCACGTCGGGGCTGTATTTACACGCGCACACCTCACCCCCTCACACAACACCCTCACGGCGGCTCGTGCAGCCCTTTGCACGCGCTTGTGCGACCCCGTGACACCCCAGCACGCGTGTCGGGGCGCGCCAAGGCCACGGGTTAATCATCACCAGCCCCTTCCCGGGGTAAAGGCCCTTTTTTTGTGTGTGTGTCATGATTTTTGGGGGGAAAAAGAGAAAAAAAACTCTTCACGGCGGGGCCCTCGGGGTGCCCCTGGGGGGGTGAGGGTGCCCCTTGGGGTGCGGGGAGCACCCATGGGATGGGGGCACCCTGAGGAGATGCTCTGGGGTGTGAGGGGAGCCCTTTTGGGGTCCTTGGGGACATCCAGGGTGTCCACCTGATGGAGGTCCTGACTGGTGGCCATCTGGGGTCCTTCAGGTGCCCATCTGATCGGGGTGCCCACCTGGGGTGCATTGGGTCCCCATCCATGATGTCTTGGGTGCCCATCTGGGGTGTGTTGGGTGCCCGTTTGTGATGGTTGGGGTCCCCACCTGATCAAGGGGTGAGTTGGGTGCCCACCTGAGAACTTTGGGTGCCCATCTAGTCAGCGTGCCCAGTTGGGGTGCATTGAGTGCCCAGCTGGGGTGCACTGGGTGCCCATTTGTGATGGTTGGAGACCCTGCTCGATCAAAGGGTGAGTTGGGTGCCCACCTGAGATCTTTGGGTGCTTGTCCATGTTACCTGGGGTGCCCAGCTGACTGGGGTGCCCACCTGGGGTGCATTGGGTGCCCATTTGTGATGGTTGGGGTCCCTACCTGATCAAGGGGTGAGTTGGGTGCCCACCTGAGATCTTTGGGTGCTTGTCCATGTTACCTGGGGTGCCCAGCTGACTGGGGTGCCCATTTGGGGTGCATTGGGTGCCCGTTTGTGATGGTTGGAAACCCTACTCGATCAAGGGGTGCATTGGATGCCCACCTGAGAACTTTGGGTGCCCATCCATGATGTCTTGGGTGCCCATATGACCAGGGTGCCCAGATGGGGTGCACTGGGTGCCCACGTGGGGTCCTTTGGGTGCCCGTTGGGGATGGTTGGAGACCCTACTCGATCAAGGGGTGCACTGGGTGCCCACGTGGGATCCTTGGGGTGCCTGTGCTGGATGCCCAGGGTGCCCACCTGATGGAGGTCCCTATTTGGGATGTGACTCATGCCCATCTGGGAGTCTTTGGGGCACCCATCCACGATGCCCAGGGTGCCCATCTGATTGGGGTGCGTTGGGTGGCCACCTGAGATCTTTGGGTGCCCATCCATGAAGTATGGGGCGCCCACCTGGTCAGGGTGCCCATTCCTGACCCTTTGGGTTCCCCTCCTGGGTGCTCACCCCCCTGAGGACCCCCCTTGTCCCCCCAGATCTCCAGGCGGCCGTGGAGGAGGTGCTGCCGGACCTGCAGCGCGATGGCACCCGTGTCTTCTACCTCAGCTCCACGTCACCCACGCCGGGCGTGGAGGCCCTGCTGCCCGCCATGGAGGAGGTCTCTGATGAGCCCCTGCCCGCCCACCACCGCGCCGGCGTCACCGCCAACTCCAAGGCGCTCTACATCTACACCTCCGGCACCACCGGTGAGGTCACGGGGACAGAACCCCCACCCCCCCAAAACCTTCTCCTTGGAGAACCATCTGGGAGGGTTTGGGTGCCATGGGTGAGGAGGTCGTGTGGTCAAGGTGGTGTGGGTGATCTTGGAGGGATCTCATGGAGGCCTGTCTCCAACCCCAACCATCGTGGATCCACCTGGGCCAGGTTCCTCCTGGCTGCATCCGTGCAAGGGTTGGGTATCTCCAAGGATGGAGACGCACCACGTTCCTGGGTCTGTCAGTATCTCCAAGGATGGAGACCCACCACGTTCCTGGGTCTGCCAGTATCTCCAAGGATGGAGACCCACCACGTTCCTGGGTCTGCCAGTATCTCCAAGGATGGAGACCCACCATGTCCCCGGGTCTGTTCTCGTTGGGATGGTGTAGGGTGGGACCTCCTGCATCCAACCTTGAACCCAAACCAGATCCCACCCCAACCAACACAGGAGCATCTGGATGAGGTTCCTTGCAGCTCCTCCCAGTGAAGGCTGGAGACCTCTGGGGATGGAGACCCACCACCCTGAGGGAAGGGTTTTGCCTTTCCATCCCACCCCTCATCTCCAGGACCTCCCATCCCACGTGGGCTCCTCCAAGGAGGCCATTTCCCACCCTCTGCTCCCAACCCCCAGGGCTGCCCAAGGCAGCGGTGATCACAGAGATGAAGCTGATGATGGTGGCCAACCTGGGGCGGCTTTGTGGCCTGCGGCCCGATGACGTCGTCTACACCACGCTCCCACTCTACCACTCGGCCGGGCTCCTCATCGGGGTGGGAGGGTGCTTCGAGGTTGGTACGTAACCCCCCTGTGACCCCACCAGGGTAGGGAGGGGGTGGAGATGGGTGGATGGATGGATGGATGGATGGATGTTTCATGGAGATGGATGGATGGAGAGTTGTTTTATGGACATTCATGGATGGATTAGGATGGAGAGACTTCTTCTGGAGATGGATCAAAGGATGATGGAAAAACGTAGGGATGGAGGGAAGAAAAGGAAGAAAGGACAAGAGAAGGAGGAAGATCTCTGTGGCCATTGATGGATTAGTGGGGGGGATGGACATCTTGATGGCCGGAGAGATGACAAAGAGCGTAGGGATGGACAAGGAAAGAATGGGAAGAAAAGAAGACAGAGAAGAAGGGTGTCCACGTAGACATGGGTGACAGGAGAGATACTCATGGGGATGGAGGGATGGATGGATGGAGAAATGGAGGGAGGGATGGATGGAGAAAAAGGGGTGGGGGAGAAGATCTGGGGTGTGACCATCACCCCATCATGTCCTCACAGGAGCCACCTGTGCCCTACGGGCCAAGTTCTCCGCCTCCCAGTTCTGGGACGACTGTCGCCGCTACAACGTCACCGTCATCCAGTACGTGGGTGAGCTCATGCGCTACCTCTGCAACACGCCCAAGGTAAGGTCCTCACCAACCTCAAACCCCTCCCCGGGGTTGGAAGGGGAAGGGAAGGCGACGCCGTGGGACGCACCCTGAGATCGTCCCTCCCGTTGTCACCCCCCAGCGCCCCAACGACCGGGACCACGGGGTGCGCATGGCCTTGGGCAACGGCCTGCGGGCGGAGGTGTGGAAGGACTTTCTCCAGCGCTTCGGGCCCATCTCCATCTGGGAGTTCTACGGGGCCACCGAGGGCAACGCCGGGTTCATCAACTACACCGGCAAGATCGGGGCCGTGGGCAGAGCCAATGTGTTCCTCAAGGTGAGTCACTGATGATGATGATGGGGGGGACACTGTTGGCTTCAAGGAGACCAAGACGGCACCTCAAGTTGGTGGCACAAATGATGACCTTCCTGGAGAAGCCACCGCTGTCCATTAGGTTGGGTTGATGCAACAGCAGGATCTCCACGATCCCCTCTTCACATCCACAAGGAGCTCCCTCCACCTGGTTGACTCAACGGTGTTGACTCGGAGTCTAGTTTTGGGGTGTCCATGGTGACCTGGACATCTCTATAGCTGTGGGTGAGCCAATGTGTTCCTCAAGATGAGCCACCGGTGACAGTGATGGTGGAGAGAACAAATGCTGATGTCCTTGGGGTGACCAAGAACAAGCTGGGTTGATGCCAAGAGTTGGGGGGCTTCCAGGATATCCTCTTTGTGGTGGCATGAACAATGACCACCCTGAGGAAGCCACCGCTGTCCATCAGGTTGGGTTGATGCAACAGCAGGATCTCCAAGATCCCCTCTTCACGTTCACAAGGAGCTCCCTCCACCTGGTTGGCCAATGTTGACTCAAAGTCTAGTTTTGGGGTGTCTGTGGTGACGTGGACATCTCCATAGTCACGGGCAGAGCCAACGTGTTCCTCAAGATGAGGAGATGGGGTGTGTTTCCATGGGTTTTAACGAGTGAAGGACACAAGACGGGGACCCGATGCTGGAAGAAAAGTCTTCTCGCTCTTTTTAACCCCACGTTTCTCTTCCACCCACCACTTCCTCCCTTTGTCCCTCTTCTACCTTCCAGACTTTCGCTCCCTTCGAGCTGATCAAGTACAACGTGGAGGAGGACGAACCCGTCCGTGACAAGCGAGGCCTCTGTATCCGTGTCGGCCCCGGTAAGAAGAGATGAACCTGTCGAGGGCCTTTTGGGGAGAAAAAGGGAGCAGATGATGGGTTGAGAAGCATCAAAGCCACCTCTTGGTCCTTACCATCATCCTCTTGGTGGCTGGAAGCCACCAGAAACCCCTCAAAGAAACAGGAACATCATCCCCGAGCACCAAGTTGGGCACGGAGGTGACATTCCCCAGCGCCGAGGCAGTTGTTGACCGGCCTCCAACCCTCCTTTTCCTCCTCGAAGGCGAGACAGGGCTGTTGGTCATCAAAATCACCAAGAACACCCCCTTCCATGGCTACGCGGGCGATTCCCAGAAGACAGAGAAGAAGGTCTTGAGGGACGTCTTGGTCAAAGGTGATGCCTTCTTCAACAGCGGTGACCTCCTCATGATAGACCACGAAAGATTCGTGTACTTCCAAGACCGCGTGGGAGACACTTTCCGGTAACTCCGATGCTCTCACGTCCCTGTGGGTGATGCCACCTCCCACCCCAAATTCCCCCAGCCCCATCACAGCTTCATCCCTTCTCTTCCCTAGTTGGAAAGGTGAGAATGTGGCCACCACGGAGGTGGAGGCCACTCTTGCCATGGTGAACTTCATCCAGGAGGTCAACGTCTACGGAGTGGCCGTGCCGGGTGAGTACTGGGTGGTTGTGCTGGACCAAAATAAGAATCTGGTGATGCTTCAGTCACATGATGGGTCCCCAAATGGTCTGAGTGGCCACCGAGAAGCCTGGAGCAGAATGGAAGGAACCTACAATGACCACCTAGTCCAACTTCCTGACCACTTCAGGGCTTATTGACCCAAAGTAAGATCCCAGGATGGTTTTGGCCCCACGATTCCTGTCACAATGGTCCTAAAAGCCACCAAGACGAGTAAACCAGGACTGGGGCGGCCAAAAGAAGCATCCGGTGTCATTTGGGGCAAGTAATTTGTCCACGTAATGGTCCAACTGACCACCAAAAAGGCTAAAGTAGGACTTCCTGACCCAAAATAAGGTTCTGGCACTGCTTTGGCACGCAACAAGGTCCTTTAAAGGTCTGAGTAGCCACCAGAAGGGTTAAAGAGGGACTTGGTTGCCCAACCCAAGCGTCCAGCTTTGTTTGGGGCACGCAACATGCCACCAAGAAAAGTCAAAGGAGACTCGGTTGCCCAAAATTAGCATCTGGTAGCATTTTGGGCAACTGACGTGTCTCCATGATGGTCCACATGGCCACCAAGAAGAGTAAAAGGGGACTCAGTTGCCCAAAATAAGTGTTTTGGGCCCTATAATGGTCGAAGTGGCTACAAAAGAGGCTAAAACGGGAAATGTTCACCCAAAATGGAGTAGCCAAAGTTGTTCTGGTCCCCAGAATGATCCAAGAGGCCACCAAGAAGAATCAAACGAGCCTCGGTTGCCCAAAATAACCCTGCGGCCTCCCTTTGCAGGCTGCGAGGGGCGGTGCGGCATGGCGGCCATCCGCCTGAAGCCCGGGGCCACCTTCGAGGGCCAGGACCTCTACGCCTTCACCGCGGACACGCTGCCCGCCTACGCTGCCCCCCGCTTCGTGCGCATCCAGGTCAGCGGCGTTGGGGTGGCTTCTGGGGACGGGTCTCCTTCAGTTCTTCTCCAAATGGGTCCCTTGGATGAAGGACAATTGGGCATCTCCAATGACCGCAAGGGTGTCCCACCAGTTTCCGATGACGGTGCCAGGGTCATCTTGTTGGGGATGTCCACCCATTCCTGGGGAGGGTGATGGTCACCCAATGTCCATGAGATGGTGTCACCATGTGCTGACGATGCCGCTGTTCCGTCTTCCCCATGATGGGATCATGGTCCTTCCTTTCCCATGACAGCGGTGGCCAACATGGTGACCTCGTGCCAACGGGTGGCCACCTTGTGTCAATGGTGCCCACCTCATGCCACCATACGGGTCTCCCCAGTTCCAATGACACCACGTGTGCCCCCGTGCCGATGACCCAAGGGTCACCATTTCAAACAACGGGGTCCCCCTTTTCTGATGAGGGGGCCAAGTCACTCCAAGGCTGGTGACGTTCCTGATGCCACCATCTCCACAGGATGCCCTGGAGATCACGGGGACCTTCAAGCAGTGCAAAGGCAACCTCGTCAAGGAAGGCTTTGACCCCAACGTCATCAAGGACCCCCTCTTCATCCGCGACGACAAGAAGAAGTCCTACGTGCCCTTGAGCCCTGACACCTATGAAGCCATCATGGACATGAAGCTCAACCTGTAGAAGAAGAAGGAGCCACGCTGGGGTCTCCACGCTGGCCCCAGGGTCCTAATTGCCCCGGGGCGATCGGCAATTTGGGGCTAATCAGGGCGATTTTCGCTTCCTTCAGGGATTGCGGGAAGGATGGTGGAGCACGAGGAGGAGGACGGGCTGATCCGGGCGCTCGTTAGCTGGCCCTGGCCCCTCCCCGCCACGTCGCCTACGGAAATTAAAAGCTTAATTCCAATTATTTTGGGTCTGAGGGGCGTTTTCTGGGGATTAATCCACTCGTTCGTTTGGTTTTTGGACCCAAAACTCCTCCCCGGGATATTTCCTCGACGCCGGAGATGGATCAACCCCCCCAAAACGCTCTTCTCCTCCCTCCCGGAGCTCATTGAGCCGCTTTAGCTCACCCAGCTGGACCAAAAATCGCTTTATTTAGCCCCAACCTGATTTTTCTAATCTCGATTAATGAAGGCAGAGTGGGGGGGGCTCCCCCTCGACACCTCAGAGACACCCCCCACCACGACGGCGTTGGTTCTCCCTTCCCCTCCCCAGCCCCCGCCGGGATGAGTGAAATAACACAAAAAAGGGCTTATTTCTCCCACTGCGGTGAGAAAAAAAACACAGAAGGCTGTTCCTTCTCCCAGCCGTGAGCCACCCCTCCCCCGGATTTTTCATTTTTAAAAAAAAAAAAAAAGGTGAAATCTTTATTTACAAACCTTCCCCGGAGCCGGGAGAGGGGGGTGGAAAGAAGCCGGGTAGACCTTCACTCTGCACCGTCCTCCCCCAGCAGCTCCAGCTCCACCAGCCGGGGAGGGGGTTCCTTGGGGGGTCGACGAAGATCCGGGGGGAGCCGACGTTCCCGTTGGAGCTCTCCCACCCGCAGCCGGAGCCGCTGTTCCCTCCTTTTACAAGCTTGGAGCTGCCTTTGGGCTTTATCCAGAGCATCCAGAGCGGCTTCGGCGCGCCGCTTCCAAAGCAAAGCGCTTCCCACCTGGTAGCTGTGCTCGCTCTGGATGTAGGCCCCGGCCGGGGGCGGCAGCCGCAGCATGTAAAGGGACGGAGAAACCGGTCGGGAGGGGCCGGGGGGGTCGATTTCGGCAAGATTTGGGTTGTCCGTGGGTTCTTCATCTCCCGTGGGTACCAAAAGGCTGTCTGGAACTTGCCCGCGGGCACCAGAAGGACCGGGAAGGGCTGGGACCCCCCCGTGATCACCCGCCGGGGGGGCTCCGGGGTCTTCGTTATCCCCCGGGAAGCAGGAGACGTCGGTGGGGAAGGGGGGGTCCGGTGGGGAAGGGGGGGGGTCCCGCCTGCGGAGGGGAAGAGATTAAATTGGGACAACCCCCCCCCCCTTTTCCCCAAGAGGGTCCCGGGTGGGCCCCCAAAACCCACACCCCCCCCC